TTGCTGTTTAAAAAATACTGTTTCTCAGGAGTATGGGTGTGTCCCAAAGATAAAGTCCTAAAATTGGAAAACACATGTAACAGTTTGATAGATTTGACCTCGCCCTCCAGAGAGAGAGAGTGACCCCTCCACTCTCTCCAGCACAGGAGAGAGGGTGACACTTGCTCTCTGTCTAGTGCGTGAGAGCGAGTGGTGACACCCCCACACCCCACCCCTACCCCCAATTCCCACATCACTGTTTCAAGTGTGTGCTTATTCAGCTCTTGAGCGTGGCTGATCTGATGGGCACACAGTAGTATCTTGTGGCTTTGACGCACATTTTCTCAGGAATAATGCTGAGTATCTTTGATGTGTTTTAATGTCACCTAGGCTTTTGCTTTTAGCTATGATCCGTTTAGGCCCCTTGCATATTTTTATTACATTATTGATCTTTAATATGAATTTATACATCTCTGTCTGGAAAATAAAGCCATTTTACCATGATTTTAATTTGCTATAATTTCCCCTAATTTGTAGTGTGCTTGTTTCAGTTTCATGGTTTTTCTCAAATTTGTAATGATGTATGTCTTTGATATTGTGGTTCATGTACTTATATACTTATTAACTGCAGAAACATTTTCTTATGGCTTTTAAAAGGACTTACTGGTTGGGCGGTGGTGACGCACGCCTTTAATCCCAGCACTCGAGAAGCAGAGGCAGGCAGTTCTCTGTGAGTTCGAGGCCAGCCTGGTCTACAGAGTGAGTTCTAGGACAGCCAGGGCTACACAGAGAAACCCTGTCTTGAAAGTTTATGTATGTTGTATGTATAGGTTATGGGGTGTGCATGTATGTGTACATATGTATGTGTGTGTGACATATCTGTGCATGACACATGCGTATGAATGTACTGGTGTGTGCACCTGTGTGAGTGTGTGCAAAGACCAAAGGATGGCATCAATGTTGTCCTCTATTACCCTCCGCATTAATCCCTTGAGATAGGAACTCTCAGTGATGCCGAAACTCACCTTGTTGTCTAGACTGGCCAGGATCCTCCTGTCCGCCCCAGTGCTAGGGCTACACAGTCATGACCAGTTTCTTACGTGGGAGCTGAGGATACAAATTTGGGTCTCCGCTGCTTTATTGCTTGAAGGAGCTTTTACCCACTGGGCAGTCTCCTCCACACCTTGCCTTGAAGGGTTTTTTAATCTCCTATATTTTTCATATCATAATAGTTTTCTCTTTCAGAAGTTAAATTTTTAGTACTTTGGATTTTATTTTGAGCCAAGGCAAGCCTTACATTCATCTATGTTTCTAGTTATCCAGTTTCCTCAATAGTTTTTATTGAGTAACATATCTTTCTTTTCCCTTCTCCTACATGCAGTGTCTTAAAAAAAATATAGCCAAATCTTCTAAAAATTGATCTGTTTGTGGCTTTCAGATTAATTACCCAGATAACTCTCTGTTCTTCTCAGTGGTGTGGCTTTACTCTTTTATTATCCAAGGACTTGAGGCTTGCATGTGAACTTCAGAGTCTCCTGCCCAGTTCAGAAAAGTGAACAAGTTGGTATTTTCACCGAGGTCACTAAAGTTTAAAGCATAACACGAACCGAGTTAACGTTTGTCTGGTGTTCGGTCTTTTCTGCTGGAAAGTAAAGTGTGTTTTTTTCAGTGTCTGCTCTGTTGCTCAGCCTTGTCTTACTCAGTCATCTCGTATATTCTGTTCCTTATTCTCAGGCTGACTCGTGAGCACAGTTGTCTCTTTGCAGTATTCCAGCAGCTATTTCTGCACTCAGAGGTAAATGCTGAGATTTTGCTTATTGGTGTTGAAGTTTTTCTTATGATTCAAAGTTATTTCCCTACTGATTCTCTTAGGCTTTCCATATGCACTGCCATATCATTGAGGGGGTGGCAAGTGAGCTTCTTTTCTAACTAATACATATGCTTTATTTCTTTTATAATTGAATTGACTCCCACCTCTGGAGTGATGACATCGGGTAGTGACAGCCATATTCATTCCCGATTTGTTCCTGACTTTGACTGGAATCTATTGAGTCCTTTCATCATTTACTATGACATATTTTGTGCTGTTATAATCAGGTGACAGCTAAGGAAATAATTCTATTTATTATCATTGTATGCAGGAAAGTATGATATGTGTGTGGGTATGTGTGACCTGTCGCTCCTGCAGAGGTCAGAGGACAGCTTTGTAGAGTTGGTTCTCCAATTCTACTTTGGCTTGGGTTCCAGGGATGGAACTCAGCTGTCGTGGGCTCCAGGGATGGAACTCAGCTGTCGTGGGCTCCAGGGATGGAACTCAGCTGCCGTGGGTTCTAGGGATGGAACTCAGCTGCCGTGGGTTCTAGGGATGGAACTCAGCTGTCGTGGGTTCTAGGGATGGAACTCAGCTGTCGTGGGTTCTAGGGATGGAACTCAGCTGTCGTGGGTTCTAGGGATGGAACTCAGTTGTCGTGGGCTCCAGGGATGGAACTCAGTTGTCGTGGGCTCCAGGGATGGAACTCAGCTGTCGTGGGTTCTGGGATGGAACTTGGGTTTTCAGGCTCATGCTGCAAGCACCTTCCACCCTCATAGCCCATAATGCTGACAATGAGAAATTCTGTCAGTAGGTGTTTTTGCCTTGGTATGTCCCTGTCTTTGGTTCTTTATGGCAGGGTCTTCCACATAGCCCTGGCTGTCCTGGAACTCATTCTGTAGACCAGGCTGGCTTCATACTCAAGAGATCAGCCTGCCTCTGGCTCCAAGTGCTAGGATTAAATGTGTGTGCCACCATGTGGCTGAAATGCCCTTGCCTTTGAACTAGACTTGGCTGATGGCTTTTACTTTAAATGTCGCCAAAATCTGCTTATTTATGTTTCTTGGATCTTGCTTATAACTGAGATTGGCCAGTGCTTTGGGGTTTGGGGGGTCTGTCTGTCTGTCTCGCCTTTGGGTCTGCCGGCTTCCCCTAGCAGCTGGGTGGAATCCCACGTTACAGCCTTCCTGTAATTTACTGCAGACCTTTGACTTAGTCACTGTGCTCCACCCTCTCTTGTCTTGGTTACTTTCCTAATTCATATTGTAATAGAAAGCCGTCTACTTTAATCTGTGCTTTCATATTAGAGCAGAAACTTCTAGCATCTATATGGCTGTCACTAAGTCTTTCCTTCCCCTGTTCTTTGTATTTGCTGATCTTTTGGAAGATTGCTCTTTTGATTTCAGATGTTTTCCATATTTCTAGATATCTGGTTTACATTCACAAAAGAAAGTCAGTTCTTTTCTCTCTGTTGCCCTTAGCAGAGCTGTTGTCCCCACACTCTTTAGGGGCTCTCTATCCTTCTGTCCATCAGTGTCATCGTTGACAGTTGTGATGTGCTCCAGCCTGTGCTTTGTCAGTGTCCCATCTGTCATAACTTTAATTCTCAGGATCATTGAATTGGTCGTTTAGGTCCCAGCACTTTCTGTTGCTGCCGTTTTGAAGATGTTCCCTGTATGTCTTCAGTATTAGGATTCTGAGGAGAGCCTTTTCTCTGTTGTAGTCCTGCCTATTGGTTAGGTGATTTTTCCTTGCATAGCTGCAGCTGAAGCACTGTGATTCTGTGCCTATTTTCGGTCCTAGAATTGGTCTGCTTGATTTCTTGCTTGAGAGTCTCACTGTAGAGCTCTTCCTGCCTCTGCTTCCTGAGTGCAGGAGCTGTAGAAATGACCTAACAGACTGTTTGCAATTTTGCTTTATTGGTTTGGTTACTGCTGATTTGCAGTTGATGTTTCTGACGCTAATTCAATTTTTGCATGTTATATCTTCACTATGGTAAAGACCTTATTTAGGTTTTTGTTCTGTTTTCAACTTTTGCTGATTTGGTGTGCAGCTTTTAGACAGCTCATAGGCAGATTTCAGTGCAACCTGAAAATGTCTTCAGTAGCCTGGAAGGTAAGTTTATTCTCAGGCTTTCATGGACAGATGCATTTACTTTTATTTCCATTCTGTTCTGATTAGTTTTTACTTCTAAATTTGCTTTTTTATATGCCATTTAATGAACTTTTAAAATTTGTTTTGTTTCCATATTCTTCCTAAAGGTAGATTCTGTTTTAAGTTTTCCAAATGCCTCTCTAGCTAACTCTAATCTTTGGATGCCTCTGGGTTATAGTTTGCTTATGTGTTTTTAATGTAGAGAATATCAGCTGCTCCTCCCATAAGCAATGCCAGCTACTGTTCCCCCCCCCCCTTCCTTTTGAACTCTCTTTTATGCCACCCGGTATTAGCTGATAGGATCACTTCCCTTAATTTTTCTAGTATTTACATTTATATCTTCCATATACCTTTATTCTTGAATATATATGATTGTTTCATGTAGCGAGCTGTGTGGTATCACATCTGATGGAGATGTATAATCAACTCCTGAGATGGCTAAGGCCTGACCTATGTTATGATCATGCAATGATTATCAGCTGCTTGCATATGCGTGAACCTATGGGCAGTGCCCACAAGGCAGTTTGGGGTTGGCAGCCCATGCCTACTTAAGGGCTGGGAGAGGTTTGCCCGGACAGAGAGAGAGAGAAAGAGAAGAAGAAGGAGGTAGATTGCTGTGAATAAAATCCTGAAAACTGCTGCAAGAAGAGCTCCAGGTGTTGTGTTTTTCCTTGCTGGTTGAGGGCTGAACACGACAAGTGGTGGCCTTATATGGGGAACCTCCAAACCTCTCTCCGTGGAGCCCAGAACTTGCTGCAGTCAGGGGGTGCACCAAATAATCCTCAAAATAAAGATTGGGGATCCGTGACAAAAAGCAGGTTCACCGCTCTCGCCGGTAGAAGGGAGAGTGGGGGTAATAGGGCCGCGACCAAAGCGGACTGTTTTAAAGTCAGAGCCACGATCATAGTGGACGGTTTAAAGTTACTAGACCTGGATAGAGGTGGGTGGTCCTTGGACTTCCCACAGGGCAGGGAACCCTGATTGCTCTTTGGGCTGACGAGGGAGGGGGACTTGGCTGGGGGAGGGGGAGGGAAAGGGGAGGCAGCAGTGGGGAAGAGACAGAAATCTTTAATAAATAAATAAATAAAAATAAAGTGAGGGCCACGACCAAAGTGGACGGTTTAAAATGAAAATAAAAAAAGAATAGGATTTTAGAATGGGTGCTTCAACATCACACCTGATTTTTCTGGCTCTTAACGAGCTGTTACTGAGAGCTTTGGAGAGGTTTTTGGCTAAATGTGACACAATTGCTCCTTGGTTTGCCGTCTCTGGCAATCTTAATGTGTCATCCTGGGACAGGCTTGGTAGAGATCTGAATTTTGCCGCTGAACAAGGTACGCTAAGGAAGGGAGTGATGTTCATGTGGTTTGAATTACCGAGACCTCCAGAGTTTGTAGGGGAGTGTGAGCAGCTGCGGCTCCAAGGCCAAGCCGCACTGAGGGTCTGCTAAGCTGCAAACACTAGGACCTGCCTCGGGGCATAGAAGCACAGCTCGTGGTAAGATCTGTTGGCCTGAACCTCTGTGCCAGCCTGGGCAATCGGCCTGAGGGGGTTTGGGGCCTGCAGCTCTGCATTGCCACGCCTCCACCTTCCAGCTCGGTGGGGAGGAGCCTTTGCTTCTCCCCTGCTCTCTCTGCAACCTGAGTCAGAGCTAGGCTGGAAAATGGCAGTAGATTGTAGTAAATACCTTTAAGAATGCAATGTCCCCGCTCAGCAGGAAGTAGCCAGAGAGATTGACAACATCCAAATTCCCTATAAGATAATTTAAGCGGGACCCTTTCAGAGCAGAAGCAGGATCAGCTGGGTTGCTAGGGAAGCCAAAGAGGTGCACAAGGGAGAAGGTGTCTTCCATGCACTCAGCTGACAGGAATAAATGAGCCACGGGAGTATGGCAGCTGGGGTTTGTTGTTTGGGGGGGACTGCTGAAGGAGCAATGGTTTCTTTTTTTTTTTTTTTTTCAGTTTAACAGAGCACATTTAATCTCATACACTTGAAAACAGTACACAAAAATATTCTGGAAAAGCAGTAGCTTCAGGTATGGATTTATGGATTGATCACATGTAAAGTCCTTCTTACGAGTCCATTTATTTAGCTCGATATCATAGGCTTCTACAGTAAACACATGCTGATTTCCACAGGTTCCAGCTATGTAGTAGAGCGAGTCCTTGTACACAGCTGCCAAGCCCTGGATTCTAGGCACAGTCATGGGAGTTAAAAACCCCCAGTAGTCTTTTTGAGGCTCATAGAAGAGGTAAAATTCCCCCTGTAAAACATAGATGTTTTCTTTGTGCTCCACAGCATTGTGAAACTCCATTGCGACAGGCATGGCACAGACAGTCATCCAACAGTTCTCTCTGCTGTCATAGCACTCCACGGACTTGAGGGAGTTTCTTCCATCACCTTCATACACACGCTCTCCAATTGCATACATTTTACCACAGCAGTGCACGAGTGTGCAGCCTATTCTGGCTTGAAGCAAGGATGGCTTGGATAGCCATCTATTGGTGGAATGGTCATACATCCAAAAATCATTTCTGCCTTATGATCGATGGAGACCTCACTGCTGCTTGGCCTGTACCCCCCTGTGATGTAAATGTCATTATCTGGTGATACAAGGATCCCAACTTCTCGTAGGTCATTTGGTGGTTTGCATAGTTTAAACACTCTTCCTGTGACTATATCTAGACAAGGCACTGTTTGCTTCTTTCCTGAGTGTTTGTGTGCAGCATCAAAACATATGATCATTTCAGAAGCAGTCATTCCAAGCCTCTGCGTACAGCCATTGGTGTTGGATAGCCCCTTTTCTCCATAGCTTTTGGTTATGGCCTGTGCAAACTGAGGTGGAATTTTCTCGATAAATGTATCTTCCATCAATGGAAAACCTATACATTTGGCAAAAATTTCCGGAAGGTGTACTTCTCTTTCATTCTGTTCATGTTCAAACCACCTTATAATGCTCTCATAAACGTGCTCTTCCCGGTCTACATTTAAATCATCACTGTCTAGTCTGCTAGTTGGTCTTTTGTCAGCTGCAGAAACTCTTGTTTTTTGGTGACACACAGAAACTTTTTACGGACGTATTCTTTTGATCGATCTCCAAGTTCCTGATGACCATAATGATCAGCAAAGATAAAGACTCCAATAGAATTCTGTGGCTCCAAATGACTAATCATATACTTAGCACATTGGTCTTGTATGGAAGGAATTTGGAAGATGCTAGCTGTAGTGAACAAGGCCTGAACATTGGCCTCTGTCAGAACAACTCTAGAGGTATAGGCATAATTCAATACTAAATCCATTGATTCAGCTTCAACACCAATGATTCGAACTTCTTTCTGAGTACTTTCCGTAAGGACGCTAGTGAACATGGATCTGAAGTAGGGGCTGATTGCAGCAAGAACGTTTCTATGACAGGAAAATGTTTTCCCGTGATCCACTTCCACTACAATGTCTGTCAACTGTCCTTCATCGTACATTGTTTTGAGTTGCTTAAGAATATTGCAAGCATGGAAGGGGTCCGTGGCTTCGTTGGTTGTGTCTGAAGATGGAATCCCATTCGTTGTTGGGGAAGACTTACTTAAATCACTCTCCTGGTTTCCACCTCCAGTACCACGGAGGCAGGACCATGCAACCCACCTGCCGGTGCGGCCATTTCTCCAAGGGGCCAGAGCAATGGTTTCTGACTGCTCCTGGAATCATGACAAAGCCACTCCTAATGACAGGAGCAGGCAGAGGAAAGCCAGGGAGGGGAAAGCAAGAGTGCCTCCTCTTCCTCTCCTCTGTGCTGGCCCCTCTGCTACCAGTTCTGACTGCCCTTGCTGCTGCCGCAAGCACAGCTGTGGCTGTGGCAATTGGCTCAGCTTGGCTGTGAATGGAAGTATCTGGGGCTGTGTGTGATATGAAAAATTTAAAGAATTTTCTAGCTGTCTTTTAGGTAATTTGGTCTGGTGAATTCGAACAACAACTGGAAAAGCTGCGAGTGACGATTGTGACTGCAGATTCCACAGGCATGGATACCAGCCTGGCAGAAGAACTATCTTCCTGGATCACTCCATGGGTCATCTGAAGGAGTGGGCGGGAATAGGAGCCCTAACAAGGCTTAATGGTGCTTGCCTCCCTGGTATGCCTGTGGTGCAACTGTCACATAAGGGGTTCACAGCATTGCAATGCAGTTATGATCATTCAGGCCTTCACGGCTATTGAAACAGGACAGTCTCCCCAAGTTTGGCTAGAGATGTAAGAGCAAGTCTGATTGCATGTGGGTTGGTGTCTAACTCCCACCTCTGTAAAAAGGCACTGGACAGGTCTAGTGTTCTCTGAGTGGATGACACCTGGACAAACACTAGTACATGTTTCATTTTTAACAGAGATCAGACCTCTACTCTTACCTGTGATTTTACAAAACAAAAGGGGGAACTGTAGCGGGCTGCGTGGTGTCACACCTGATGGAGATGTATAATCAACTCCTGAGGTGGCTAAGGCCTGACCTATGCTATGATCACGCAATGATTATCAGCTGCTTGCATATGCGTGAACCTATGGGCAGTGCCCACCTGGCAGTTCGGGGTTGGCAGCCCATGCCTACTTAAGGGCTGGGAGAGGTTTGCCCAGAGGAGAGAGGAGAGAGAGGGGAAAAGTGAGAAAGTGAATAAAGTCCTGTAATAAACTGCAATGAGAAGAGCCCCGGTGGTCTGTCATTCCTTGCTGGTCGAAGGTGGGGCGTGACAGTTTCACTTCAAAGATATTTTGCCTCTCTGTGTAACAGCTGAAGAATGGATATGCATGTATTCTTCATTTTGTGTTCCTTTTCACCTGATAACTCTTGCTGGTTATATCCTTCTGTGTTGCTGTTGTAGATAGTAGTTGCATTCCTCTCTGTTATTTTTAAACTTAGAATTGCTTTGTTCCTATTCATCACCCCTCCTACCCTCCCTGTCCCTCTTGCTATTCTGCTTGTGCCCAAATGTCCTTTCTTGCCATTCACAAATCATAAAGTAAAGCTTTCCCCTCTCTGTGCCCCTCTCCTTGCCCTTAAGATCTTCTCCTCTCCATCATGATCCTGTTTCTATTCCCATTCTATACAAAATTAAAAATGGATATAATCTTAAAGATGAAAAGACGTACAGGTCACACACCCATACTTATCAAGATCCCACAAATAAGAGAAGATGTGCAATATGGGAAAAACTGAAAGCTAAGTGGGAACTTGGAAGAGAAAGTGGGTCCTCCAAAATGGCAGTGATACTATATTAACCATAGACCCAGATTTTTCCTATATACCACTATCAGTAGAAATTCAGGAACTCAAATTTGGCATATTTAAAAACATTTTACACTTGCCTTTTTGCTGCAGTGACAGTTTAGCTGGGTATAAACTTTTAGGTCTTACATTATCTCTCTGGATTTCTATGGCAGGGATAATGTCTCCAAAGCTGTATAATTCTCATTTAGTTATCATAAAAAAACAGAATTTCTTTTCTCTGTAATAAATAGGCACACTAGGAAAGATGGCTAGTGGTTAAGAGCAGCACTTACTGCTTTTGAGAGGATGCCTTAGGCTCCCAGCTCTAACCAACTGTAACTCCAGTTCCAGGGGGGAATCTGACACTTCTGGTGTAGATGGAGACTGTGCTTTCATTTCCTGGATATCCAGACCCAAATAATCACACAAAGCTATATTAATTATAAACTGTTGAGCCTATTAGCTCAGGCTTATAGTTAACTAGCTCTTACAACTTAACCCATAATTCTTGTCTATGTTTAGCCACATGGGTTGGTACCTTTTCTCAGTGCAGCATTCTCATCTTGCTTCCTCTGCATCTGCCTTTCCTCTTCCCAGAATTCTCCTCGTCTGGTGCCCCACCTATACTTCCTGCCTGGCTACTGGCCAATCAAAGTATTAAACCAATATAAGAGACAAATCTTTACAGTATACAAAAACACTATCCCACAGCACTCTGGTCTCTGCTGGCACTGCACTCACATTCATATGCTCATACACAGACAGACAGACAGACACAGAGAGAGAGAGAGAGAGAGAGAGAGAGAGAGAGAGAGAGAGAGAGAATCTTAGAAATTGAAGGACATACAGGTGCACTCAAAGGAAAGGTATGTATGTCCTCTGTGCTGCCCATTGCCACCTCTAGTCCACATGATGTTACCTCAAAGAACAGCATTTCTGCATAATTCTCAGTTCCCAGGGAAGAGGTGCTACCTAGCTGTGAAGTTAAAAGCACCTTCCTAGTAAAACCTCACATCACAAACTGAAGGGGCAGCCATTAGTTTTATAAAGCAACTGACTATATTAGAATGAAAAATGAGTTGATTGTGTTAATGCACAAGGTGGGCTGTTTTTTAAAAGTCAAGGTGCACTTTTCAGAAGTATAGCTATTACATAAAGTGAAACTTCCTTACAAGTGTGTGATTAATGTATTTTTAATGAGCCCAGTTCTTCTTTTAGTCAACTCAAAGGTAGGAAAAAAAAAAAAAAAAGAAAAGACAGGAAACCAACATTTCTCGCCCTCGGGAGCCACACACACAATGGTTATTATGAGCTTGAGTCATGGTGAATATTATCAATATCTCCAATTTTCCCTTCACCAGGTGCTGTTCAAATATTATAAAGAACTCAATGAATGAGCTGGTATCCAATTTGAATTTCAGCAAGCATCTAATAAAAGGAAGTTAATTTATGAGCTCTTTTCGGGTGTGACACTGAGTTTTGTACTGATTGTGGCTAAGAAATGTATCACTTTAGAATTCCTGCAGATGAGCCTACGTTTGTTAAGTACTTAGAGACTGACTGGAGCATTCGCAAGGCAGAGCTCCAGAGCTGATGTCAGGCGATGTTTCTCAGGAGCTGCAGCCCTTCCTGTGGCCCCTCTGACAGGGGGCAGGCACCCTTCCTTACCCTGCATTCATCATTTCCGGCTCTAAGGACAGTCTGCTGTCTGCATGGCCCCAACCCGCTGAAAGTCAGCGGATCTATGCAAAACCCAGTTTTCTCAGAGAGGACCTAGCCTGTGGCTGTGAGCCACTGTTCAGCACCCTAGGCTCAGACGGCCTTAGGCAGCATTTACATCCCTCCCTGGGAAGATCCTGGGATTGATGCTGATCCTGTGGGTCTGGCAGAGATGCTGCCTTGCTTGCAAGCTTCCACCAGAGAGTCCCTCAGAGTGTGGTTTCCAGCGCAGCAGGGTTGGTCTGTCCTGGGAGAATAGGAAGGAGAACTTGTTAAAAACAAGACCCTGTGTTCGTCCTCTCTGAAAACTGGTGGCCACTGCCCTAGGCCTCTCCTCCCAGTGATGCAGCTTGGGCTCCCCTGGGAAATTTGAGATGAGTTTTGAGGGGCAGGTGGATAAACATCACCAGTTTGATAATGGTTGTGGTTTATTCTTACTCTTAACGTCCACTTATAGTAGATGCTCTTACCATGGCATTTGCAGTCAGATTTAAAGGATTTATCTAAAGACACGCTAAACATAAAAGTTCAGGTGATATGTGGGTGTCATAGAAACTGTAAAGTCACCTGCAGGCAGCTTAGACCAGACACTAAAACCAGTTTAGCGCTGAGAAGGTTGAGGTGTGGATTCGGACAGCACCCCCTCCAGGGCTCTGTGTGAATTCCACAAAGTGACCTAAGTATCACTATGTGGAAAGTTCTAGGAAAGGTGCTTGCTGCAAAATGTGGCAGGGTTCTCTGCTGTACTTTATCTCAAATAATACAGCTCAGATTTTTAAAAAGTGTTCCTCTAAGTTATATGTTAAGTATATTCCCCCTAGTACCCTCTGTCCCCTAGACAGGTTTACTCCTAATGCCATGTCATATGTGTGTACATGATTGTTACACAGTTGTACAGAATCCCAGGAGACACAAATGAGAAAACCCGATTCCCCCCCACACACACCCAAGGTTGATTTAATTCAATCAATATGATTATCTCCACCCATTATTTGGCAAATGATATGACTTTGTTCCGTTTGCTGAAAATTTGTGTGTGGTGTGGGTAGGTGTCCATCTACCATATTTTCTTAATCATGATTTTTTTAAATCATATGCTGTCTCATTACCCCCTACCCTGTAACCCTTCTTACTCAGGTGTCGAGTACCACTTACCAGGGTCGGGGCATGGGGATTAGAAAAATCAGTCACAAAGAGAAGCACAGGATAGTACCGGGAGGGAGTTCCAGTGAGTACTGAAAATCGCCCACGTTTAATTTCCATTTGCTTGAATACCCCGACCCTAAAAGGTAGACTTAAGATTTAAAAAAAAAACAAACTGCATTAACATGATAGAAGGAGTGAACAGACCAGTTGAAGGATTATGGGTTACACTCTTAGTTAAACATTCTGTGGTCAGAAGACAAGCTGTGCTCACACCCTAGACTTAAACATTCTGTAGGCAAACCTCTCCCTGGGTGGAATCCATAGCTATCTCCCTAAGGGAGTGGGAACTTAGTTGGATCCTTAGACTTTTATTTGAAGTAGAAACAGATCTACGAAATCTCAGAGCTGGATATTAGCCATACCTATTTACAATAACCCTGAAGGAACAGAAGTAAGTTCTAATTCTCTGACCTTTAGTCAAGGTTGAATGGACCCACACCTAAGGGCTCTGTCTCAAAAAACAGAAACAAAAATAATTTCTTTACTGTCTGCTCAATGAGTCCTATAGATATTGATATTTCTACAGTACCCAACAAAATAAACAAAAGCCAGCCAAACCAAAATCCTCTCATGTATAAACCAGATTTTCTTTGCTCTCGTAAGCCCTGTCACTCAGGTCAGTGGACCCTACCTCAAAGTTACCTCTCAAAAAGGCAAATATTCCTAGCAATCATATATCATGGAGAACCAACAAGAGGCCAGTGGGAAGTGGATCTTAGGGGAGAGAGTGGGCTAGGGGAGGTGCAGGGGAGGCTGCTCAGAGAATCTGCTCAGTAGCAGATGGGGCGGCAACAGGAAGTGACTGGAGGTCACCTGGAGATCAGCTTTACATCTTAAAATCCCTCCGTTAGTTTGTATTGATAAGAATTCTCCACAGGTATTCTGAGGATCCTTCATCTTACCGTGTTTTCCTAGAGGTTAGGAGTAGGCTGTCCGGGCTGCAGGGTCTTTGTGATCAGTACACTCTAGTGACTGGTCCTTGGATATGAAGTGAAGCGTAAGTGTGGATCACCTCCTGGGATTCATTCATCTCCTCTAGTTCGGAGGAAACACATCACTATCATTCCATCTGGTTTCAGAGACAACAAATCTAAGAAACACAAAGGAGAAGTGTTAAGACAAAGGGGGGGGTGCAGTGTAGGAAAACCTTATTCTCAAACTCTCATTCTGAATGGACACAGATGACTGGTCATACAAAGAAAGAAAGAAGGGGACCCTGAGGTGACAGAGGGATTGTATATACCACCTGTGTTAGGTAGGGGTCCTCACCCCATGCAACTGGAGCTCGCCAGAGATAATTTCCACTATGGCAGTTTGTGAGAGCTGTGTGACCCACAGGTTCTGTTGGCCACTGGGGCATACAGTTGCTTTACGGATTGCAGACCGCCAGCTATACCCATGCACTCTGCATCTGCTGACTAAGCCAACCACTGATTGAAAACACTGCATCTGTCCTAAGCACGCACACACGCCCCATCTGTCTGTC